TTCTTTCCAAGCTCTTGTACATCTGGTTCCAACAGGCAATCTGTGCAGATTTTTCTGTTATGCTGAAGTTCTCACAGTGGTGTTGGCACTTAAAACTAGCCGAACAAGGAAAGCTGTACACTTGTTTTGAAGCTTTAAGTTTAGTTTTATTCCACTTTCTGAGTAATGTTTCTTTCTATCATGCTTCAGACTTCCTCTGCCACTTGTGTTTCTTTCCAACATTGACCAGGATGCTGCATAGTGAGGCAGAACAGCTTTCCTTTGTTTTGAGGTCATTATTCAAACCTTCCTCTTCTCTCTGACTGCTCAAGGTAAACCTTGGATTAACCGGTAGTGTTGCTTTCTGTGGAACATGGTAGCTGGAAAAAAAGGCAAGTATGGCTTGCTGTGCACACACATGTACATCTCCTGCCCTTTAAATGTTACCTTTCCTAAGTACATAAGTGATAACAAATTATAACAACCACCCACCCCTTGCCCCAGTTTTATATATTTATCATACTCCCAACTCTATCTTGTTTTCTTAGTATCTTTAAACTTTTTCTTTGGCCAGGGTGGAGGCTTTTCACATTTGTATGGGCTCCAGCCAGAATCTGGTAATTTTTACTACTCACCCTAAACACTTGAACCTCTGGCCATGGCAGAGCTACAGGGAATTGTCAAGTAGGAGCTGCTGCTGTGTGAGGCAGCCCCAAGCCCCTTGTCTGCAGCAATGGGCCGAGGCCAGCCTTGCTTGGAGGCAGAAGTACTCCCCAGCCCCCAGGTTCCCCTGTGCTGCCTGCCCCAGTGCATGGTGTGGTGTTGCTGGGTTCTGTGGGCCTGGGCACCAAACCTGTGTTTGGTTCTGTGGGCACCTGCCTCCTGCTGGCCACCACCCTGCCCCTGGCCGAGCTCACTGCTCTGCAGAAGGTGCTCAGGGGGCCTGTGTGCCATCAGCTGCTTGACAGGCCACATGGAAGGGGTGAATGGCTGCTGCTGGGCCAGGGAGATGAAGCTCAGCTGTGACCTTGCTGTGTCTGCCATGCCACAGTGCTAAACTGAACAATGACTCCTAATTGTTCTGGTTCTGCAGTATCCTGTTTATCAGACACCTCTCTGCTGCTGCAAGGCTGGGTGCTGGGGTGGCCAGTGCTGCCCATGCCCAGTGTGGCAGCCTGGGTGCCAGTCCCTGCAGTGCCAGCACCTGCTCCTGGCCTGGATTGTACTGTCTGAAGTGAAATCCACGGTATGCTGTGCCTGCAGGAAGCACTGGAGCATTGGGTTCAAGTTTCAGGGGGGCAAAATGTGCTGCTCTGTGAGCACAGGGGTTTGCACGTGCTCTGCTGCAAAGCTTTGCTAACCACCAACACAGCCCTGCTCTGATGAGGTGTGGCAAAGCCACAAAGCTGTTACCCTGAACACCTTAAATTATACTCTTTACGTAACTACAGCTGCTGAAATCCATCAGTGTTTGCAGGTCTTGGTAAGAGCTACCTGATTGCAACTGGGACAGTAGAAAGATAACAAAAGTAAAGGAATGTTTCCTAATATATGCTGAAACTGTACCTTAAAAATTAAAATAATGTATCATTATTTTATCCTCTCTTTTATTACTCAGTGCTACCCCAATAGCTTTTTATTTCTAGGAAACAAACATACATACGTTTTATTTTGTGCCACCTAAGGAATATATTGGGTTGCCTGAAAAATGTTCACATTGTGGGGTTTTAACAATTTTCAGATGAAATGCTGAACTGTGCTAAATATTCTGAACACATGACAGAAAAGATGTGATGGTCTCTTGTGAATGCACATCTTACATGAGGGCACTCTCAGTCGGTATTTCTGGTTTGTCTTTCTGAATTGCTCATAGTGGATATTCTATAGAAACACTTCAGTATTTCACTCCTTGAGGGAAATCAGTGATTGTTAAAGATCTTCACAGGGTTTTCCTGCTATAAGGTTCTACACTAACATGTGCGTAACTAACATGGAGTTATGCAGGCTTGCTCTACAGGAAGTCCTTAATCTAAAAATCAAGGTTGCAGCAAGGACCAGAGACTTGGGCTGACAACAGTCTGAACAGGTAACTCGAGACATGGAAAAGCAGCTTCACCCTTGGAATGAGCTAGGCTTTCTTTCTAAAAGCCATGTTGCCCTGTTTGTGCTGTTGGAGTGTTTCCTGCTTTGCACAAATATTTTGCAGCTGATCACTAGCGAGGAAGAGAAAGGCCAGTAGAAGAGCAAGTAGTGAGAGATCAGTGGGCTAATTGTACTGATAGTCAACATTTGAAACTTGTTTGCCATACTAATGTTTCTCCTGATAGATGTCAATTTAAATATTTTGTGACCCTTAGCAAAATTTGGCTTTGTGTAGACACTGAGTTATTTATAGCATGTGTATGTGGCGTAAGGGAAATATTTCCAGTCTTTATTCTCCTATAATTTCCTTTTTTCCATACTGGAAAGGGAAGAGGTGAATTGTTTATTATCCTTTGGGAACATGCTAAACTGTTGTTTCTCACCAAAGCCTTGCTTTACCTCCGTTTCCTGCTGACCTGCTATTACAGGACTTAATGAAATGAACTTTCAAATTAAGTTTTCATTTTTCCCATATTACAACTATCTACAAGACAAAGAGTTAATTCAACGTTTTAGAAATTCACGTTTTGCCTTCCAGAATTTGAGGTCTTAATCTATCTTGGCGTCAAGTCTTGCTAGATTACATCCATGCAAGCATCAGTTCTGACTTTGAGTAGACAGCAATTTGTACTTGTGCAAGCTGCCTTCAAACGTACACTGGTACATGCATGGGGAGAGCTCAGTCAGTTTGGCTGTTGCAAATAATTTGGACCGTGTCCAAATTATTCAAATTTATAGATGTGATCCCACTGTTATCATGCAAAGCCATTCTTACCACAAGCCTCATGTTTTGCACATCAAATGAAAAACAGATAGTCTCAACAAAGTCAAATGCAAATCTGACTTGAATCAGAATTTTGCATTTTTAGAAAGACAGAAGATGTCAGGAAAACTCTTCCATTATTAGCTATCATTTATTTGTGTCAGAAATAGAGTAAAAAAGTGTCAAACACTGATTCTTATACAAATCCACAGGGGAAATAGGCAAGTTCTCAGTTTTCTTTAGATGAACTGCCTTTTGATAGCTGAAGAATACAGACTTTGAGGAGTGTACAAAATTTATTTGAAATAAGATATTATTTGAAATGCATACTATCTTTTTACAAAATATACAATCAACCAGCTAGTTGATAAACATATATCTACTGAAACTCACAATTAATGCATTTTTCAAAACAGATTTGATGGTATCAAAATGCCTTTAAAAAACAGATACTTAGAATAATTTTGTAGACTGACAGCAGGCATCCTTGGGTGCTGTTTTGTTTTTACTTCTGTGAAGGACCATGCATTTATAGCTTTTTGATAGATACATGATTTATTTTTTACCATTTTATCAAAGTTAATTGAATAATTGTGGTTATAGAAAAGATCCAGTGCCACAATAGACCCATATACTCATTCATAAGACATAAATGTGAAATAGCTGCTCTGCACCTTACTTGCTTTCCCACACTCTTTACCTGTAGTTCTAAACAGAGTTAGCTAAGGATACATATCAAAGCCAAGGTAAATAAATAATTTAAAAAATATATATAAGTGGTAGAATGCCTATTTGGGAAACTGTTGGTTTTTTTTTTTTTTCCAAGACTTCAAAGGTTTACCTGCAGGACTGCTTGTTGTTTTAGGTAAGTTTGACCACCTTTGTATGATGGTTTGGTTTTACACAACTCCAGAACTGGGTCTGAGGTTACATTTTTTTTTTTCATGGAGAGAAATTTGTAACTCCTGTTACAAATTTGTAACTCTGCCAGTATTAATTCAAGTAAAGTTTCAAGTTCTTAGAGATAAGGGGTTACATATGCATACTGATTAGAAAGGTTCAGCTATCCAGTTTTCTTGATTGCTGTTCTTTCAATTATTAGAAACTATGTGTTGTAAGAAAAAAATAGTAATACCAGATTTAAACCACAGCACTTCTGATCTTTGATGATCTTTATATATTTTGTAAAAAATGTTGGCATTTCAAGTCTAGTGCAATGAATTAAAAATCCGGGTATTTTCAGGTTGCTTTAGTTATGCTAATGAAAGGACTGCCATGTTATCCTTTATATTCTTCTGCTGATACAGAAGGCATATGTGAAGCATGTATTTTTAAGACCAAAACTCAGACTAAAAGCTCAATGTATTCTTGACCTCCAGTGCTGAAAAGAACAGCCTGTTTTCTGTTTGAAGTCTTCATTCATTGTAGTGCTATGTTCAAATATCCCATTCATTTAAATTACAGGAATAGAGTGCTATGCAACACTAGGGCTGACCAAACAAAGGATTCTTTTCAATGGTCTATTTTTATGCTCTATTTATAATACTGTAGCTGGTATTTTAGGAAAACTACTATTAAGCAAATAGCTCTGTAGTACTGAATTTTCAAGCATGTTTAAACTGTCTGGTTTGGCAGCCCACTTTAAGAAAACAAATGATAGGCTTTGCAGTAACAGCTCATTAGACAGAAGGATGGGCTTGACCTTAAGGCCTGGCTTGAGAGATCTGAGTTATCAGTTTTGCATGACCCTTGGCTAATCTCTTATCTCTGTGTGCTTAAATTCTCTATCTATAGAAAGGGATAACACTCTCTTTGCTTTCTTATATTGTAAACTCGTACTATGCTTTCTATACATGAAGCCAGTGGGACCACTGGTGTGGTGCTAGCTTTGGTGCTATTACAGTAATGCATTCTATGTTATTATAAAGGTAATTCCATAAAAATGTAATGTTAGATGTTAAAACATAAATGTATATATTATTAATATATAAAAGTATAAACAAAAAATGGACTTTCAGAATTCCATACTGGAGTCTGATACCTAAACACAGCCGGAACTGAGCAGTCAACAGCACTTTCAATTTCCCTCAGTCTGAAAATTATGTATCATCAAGAGTGGCCTTGGACAGATCCTTCCTTCTTACTGCCACTGGAAACCTAGCTCAGATCAAAATCTACCTGATGTTTGATTTGATCTTTAACTTTCTCTAGTGATTGTGAAAGCCAAATCATTTGCAGGGAATGATTCCACCAGGTAAGTTCACGTACGTCCCCCATCACCACACTTCCCCCCCTCCAGCACTTTTCAGGGTGTGAGACAGGGGCCTTTAGTCCAGGTCCAGTGGAATGTGACAGACAGCACTGCTGAAGATGGCACTGTGGTGGCTGTCAGGTCAGCTGTTGTTGATCTGCACTTTTGGCAAACTTCTCTTATTGATTTAACTGTTGCTCCTTTAAAACACTGGAAAGTCCAGTATGAAGTTGCTGGGGGAAAAAAGGAAATAAATATTAATGAGAGATTTAGTAGTCTAAATAAGTTTCATACAAAGCAGAATACATTATTTGTGAAACACATGGATGAAATGTGGAATAATATTTCTTTATTTGGAAAATTCAGGTCCTAAGTTGAAGAAAAAAAAAAGACAAGCAAGAAGGCTGCTAATATAAAATTTTCTTCCTTTTTTTGTCCTGTGCTTTGTGTATGGAACTGATGAAAATTCAAATTCAATCTACTAATTTCAAATGCTGCAAGAGGCTGCTATGCTCATTTAGTTTCCAACCACTAGTTGAAATTCAGGCTTAAGGCTGCATCCTGTTTGCCTCTGCAAGTGGCTCTATCCATATGTACAACTCCACTGAGATCAATAAGATTACTCATGTGAGTCAAGCAACCCAGGCATGTAAATATTTGCTGAATTTGGACTAAAACTGGAAGGGAATGTAAACGTAGGTGGTAAATCCCACTTAAGATAAAGGATAGCACCCACAATGACTGAAGTTAAGAGAGTTAGTTCAGGTGCCTGTCTCCCCTTACTCCCTGGCAGAGGTTTACTGAGTTCTAAACATCTTTATTAAGTGGAAGGATCTTCAGCTACATGTCTACAAAATTTATTGAGAATTAGTAAGTACACTGTTTTGTTTGGTCATTGACTTTTGTTACAAGAAATCAGCTCCCCAAAGAAAAGAAGATAACATTGAAAATACCTTTTATCTTCATATTCTGTGAGGAAAGGAATTCCCCACAGAATATGGGGGGTGTATGCAGCTACTGCAGTCTAAAGCAAAATGCATTTATTATATGAGGCTTCAGAGCACATTACAGAAAGTGCAGGTGCTTTCTACACAATTTCCAGACATGGATGTTGGATGGGAGGAAATGTACTCTTCTTAGGAACTGAAGCAAATCATTCTGAATTGATTCTTGAAGCAACTGGGCCTAAATTCCTCTGTCCATTCAGTCTCTACCTGCTGAGTGAATCGATCCAATTGCTTATCTTTTTAGATTCAAGCTTAAACTGATGATGGAGTATCATTTAATCTGTCTCTTGTTTAAATGTAGCAGTGAGGAGACATGGCCTTCAGTAGTAAAGCATCCTTCTGGCATGTCCTTTCTACTTGCATCTCAATTCTGCCACTCAGTATGAAGCCCATCTGAGATTCACTTTAAGATACAGCAATCTTTTTTTTCAACCTTACAAACTTGCCAGTTTGGCATCCCATATGCACATTCCATGTGTTTATGGGCCAGCCCTATAGAGTGGAATGGTACTCCTTTGCATGGCTGTTTTGGGAGTGGTGTAGGTTCTTTTCACCAGGGCAGTTTATGCATTGACAAGATGTTAAGTTTTACTTTAGTCTCCTTTTCACTGTTAACCGCTTAGTAAATCGAAACATCTTGGCTCCAGAGTGCAGATTCTGCCACCGTTTATTTAGGATGCTGACATGCCTGGGACTACAACATTATTTTAATATATAATGAGTTTCAAAGATGCAAAACTACTGACTGCATGTTTTATTCATTCTTAAATTGCAAAGAGGGCCCGGTTTCCTTTTGATGCCTACCCTATTAGCATATGCTACCTGTTTGCTTCTGCAGTCACTTAGTATTTGAATGTAGCTGCCCTCATCAGCTATAAAGCATTAATGTTTTGCACTTGTATAGCCTTTCATCTAAGGAGCTGAAAGTCTTTTGCTGACAATGATTAAGAATTACAGTCCCCTTTGAAGTGGGTTGAGCGCTGCTACCTTCATGTTACTGACGGGCAGAGTGAGGTGGCTTCGCCCTGCATGCGGCACGGGGGAAGTGTCAGCGCTCGCAGCCCGGAGCATCCTCTGCTAGTGCCGCTTTGCCCGGCCTTTGCACCAGTGACACCCTGCCCCGCAGCTTTGCCAACAGTCTCGGAGGGCAGCGTTCGGCGCGATTAGCGGGATCAGATGTTTTTCACTGCCTCAAGAAGGCATTTAGCAGGGGGAATGGCCTGCAAGGGGGACAAGGGGGCAGCGGCCGGCGGGACGCGCGCCCCAGCCCCGGGACAGCGACCGCAACTTTGGCAGCTCCAAAGCCCCGTTCGCAAAGCAAGGGAGGGGAGCCCGTGTGCAGCCACGCCTCGCACGCTGCTCCAAGGCAGGAGAGCTTTCCCAGAGGCGCTCCCTCCCCGCGGCCCCACACGCGCGGGCTTACCTGGCGGGGCTCAGGGGAAGGGCACCCTGGAGTGGAGCGGCATGCAGCGCCGGTGCGAGCAGCCGTGCCGGTGCAGCTTCCTGCGCAGCGCCAGGCTGGCTGCGGACACAGAGAGAGAGGGAGGGAGGGAAGCGAGGCGTGAGAGGGGCCGCCGGCAGTGCCGCTCCCCGGGACGGGACGGGACGGGCCGGCCCCCGCGCTCCCCGGAGCTCCCCGGTGCCCGTGGCCGTGCCCTCCCGTGCCGCCGGCGTTCCCGGTAGCAAGTCTGCAGCAGTTGCCACCTTGGGTCCCTACTTATCCCTGTTCCTCCCCCGCACATCCCCGCCTCCCCCAAAGTTGCCAGACTCCTGGGATGGGCGAAGCATCCTCTCCCGCTGCCGCCAGAAGTAGGGATGAAGCGCACAGATGGATGCGCCAGGTCCAAACCCGTCCCGGAGGTCTCAAACCGCGTGTGGGACGGACACGCCGGAGGCGCCTGCGGCAGGCACGAAGCCCCGGCGCCCTGCCCGGCACAAGCATCACGCTGAGGCATCGCCTACCTGGCCGCTGTCCGCTGGCTGGGAGGAGGCTCGCCAGGAGCGCCGCCACGATCCAAAGCAGCAGCTGGAGCCTCATGTCTGCAGTCACGGCGGAGGTGTGTGTGTGTGTGAGTGTGAGTGTGAGTGCTGGCGAGGCAATGCCCGCGGGGCCGTGAGGGGCCGGCAGCGCTCACATGCCCGTGACAGGCCGGGGACAGGCCCAGCCCTGGCGGGGTTAATGATCAGGCCCCGCCGAGGCTCCCGGGCTGCGCTGCTCTCCGGGCCTCCCTCCCTTCCCTGCTCCCTTTCTCCCTTTTGCTGTCACTCCCCCTTATTTTCCATAAGCAAACAGCGCAGGAATGAAAAGCCCGTGTAAACAGCAGCTCCTGTCAATGCGTAGGGGCGAGGAGCCTCCCGAACAATGCGGCCGCTCCACTTTAAATTCAGCCCGGCCAGGAAAAAAACATATGTAAAACAAGCGCCGATGTTCCCTCCCCCATTTGCAACTGTTTAAACTTTGCATTGCCCATATTGGTCCCACATGCAGACACCAATGGCAGGGGCAGGAAATGCCCCCCCGACCTTTGTTCCCCCTCCCCAAAGCGGGGGCAGGGAAGCCCCCCAAGCATGGCCCTTGTCCCAGCACAAATGCTCTCTCTCTTCTCCAAAATACCTGCCAAGCTGTGGCCATTCAAAGTGAAACTGGCAGTGCTTAAGGCTAATGGGTGTCTTTTGTACCGTCAACTATTTTTAAAGGATCAGAATATTCAGGAATTAATTTGTGCGGTGTTGTTTTTGGTTTTTTTTACCATGTAGGGTAAAATAGATATATCTGTTCTAGCAGTGCCAGTTTGAGGCCAGCAGTTTTGGGTGGGACATCCATTTGCATTGTCCATCTGTACACTGCATTATATTTATACTTGATTATGATGAGAGCTCACTTTAACAAACCACTGAAACCAACTGGTACAGATACCGAAGCCTGAAGGGAAAAAAGGCGAAACCTGTGGAATTTGGGAGCAGCACTGATGGCTTTGAAATCCTGTGAATTACTGGCAACAGTTGAAATTCGACTGGTCCTTTTCTTTTTTCCAACCTGCTGATTTCTTGTGATGAAGTAGCACCTAGTTATTTGGAAAAACAAACCATTAAAATTTGTTCCTTTCTGGGAAAAATTTCTCTTCTAAAACATGCAGGAGAGAGTACATTTCTATATAAGCAAAGCACTACTATTATTACTAGGTAACTGCTATTGAAAGTTCCATAAAGTTCTTGTTTGCCTATTTCCTAAAAGAGTGGAATATATAGTTGGTTTGCTGGGGGTTTTTTGGTTGGTTTTTGTTTTGTTTTAATTCAATTACCTCTGTATTGCTTTCCCTTATTGTGGGCTTTTCAGTTTTGTTTAAAAACCTATTTGACTCAATAGTGCACGCTACTCCCTCCTCATAGAGTTATACATCATTACTTGGTTACTTAATTTGTCCAGGTAAAGTATGCCCATATCAATAAAATACAAATTGCAGCTTGAATACATGGAGGAAATAGTTACTAAATGTTGTTTTAAAATTATACCAAGACTGCTGAGGAAGGTGTCTCAGATAAAACAGGAAAACAAAAGGAAGATCCTCTGCTGGTTGATCAGATTTGCCTGTTATAACCAGAAGACACATCCCAGTGTTCTTCTTTACAGCTTGATGGTCATTAAGTTTTCTCTTTGTGGTTTCTGGACTTTAAAGTGAACTTTTTAAAATATTATTGATACTAGCTCAGCTGAAATCAGGGTGCTGTGGTGGCAGTGACAGAATTTTCTTAAGGGGGTTATAAATTCAAGTACAAATGTGATGGAGTAGGAGAGGGGTGCTGTGCCCAGATCACCCAGCGAGTTTGTAACAGAGCCAGGGTTACATCCTCAGTATCCCAAATGTCATTCTGTCTCCACTAGGACAGGTTTAGGGGTGTTCTCTCTTGCTCACCATGAATGAGAGCACACTGGCCACCTCATTCATACAGCCCTGCAAATGACCATCACTTTCATTCAGCAGGTGAGGTTCAGGCTCATAACCTTAAGGTGGAAAGTAGTATAGACTTCAAAGTGATAGGGACTCTGCAGAAAGCTGAAAGGCAGAAAGAATGCATAGACTATTGCCAGTCCCTCGGGCTATCCAGGCCTCTTCTGCACCTGAATGTGGTGAAGTTTAGTTCTGAGGTCACATTAAATTTCGGGGACTTGAGATAGATGCAATCGTTAAGTACAATATTTATTGGGGTTTTTCCCAGTTTTGTATACTATAATCTGTTAATTCCACTGCTAACTCTGTGACAAAGTTTACAAATGTTTATTTGACTAATAAAATCCAAGTCACTGTAACATGAGCATGACAGAGTTATTATAATTTTCAAGTGAGGTACAGTAATAATTCTATGCTTCCCCACTGAAAAAATTTCTAAAATATAATACAGCCCCACTCTAGAATTTGTAGTTCTTTTGCAGGCAGCTTTCCTTCAGGTACTTACTTTCATGTGCTACTTGAAATTAGGCAAATAACAACTCAGTAGAATGTAGTGATGTAATAGTTCTGCCTTTTCCACAGTGTTTGCTGGTGGGGTTTGTGCTGGCTTGAGAGGAGAGGGAATGTAAAGTGTGTGGGAAAGCTGCAAGTCTGTAGATAACACTTTATAAGCTAGAGGAATTGGTTATTTGAATAAAAAGCTTTCTTTCTCTTATAATCTGGAAGGAACATAATAAAGGAATGATGATTTCAGCATTTATTACCTATATTATTACTACTTCTCCAACAGACATTCTCTTCCCCATTTCCTCCTTGATAGGATCAAATAGTCAGATTATCTGTTTACATCCAGAAAGTGAAAAAAATAGTTAGCATATTGCAGAAACAGTTTTGAAAGTGTTGAATAGGAACTGCCTTTCCTGAATATCAAACATTAACTGTAAGTAACGCACAATATTATATTTTCCTTAACCCATTTCAGTAAGTGCTGTATCACTTCACTGGTTATTAATTGTTCTGGGTGACACTTTCAGTACAGTTGCTGCTACAGTCTTATTTGGGGAAAAGATTTTGAAAACATAGTGCCATTTCTAATAATAATATTGGAAGAAATACAGGAAAAGTGGCTGAGGGAATATCAGATCATTTTGTGACATATAGAAGAATAAAAAATACCTCAATAAATGAAAGAGCAAGTCACTGGAAGAACAAAAGGTGAAATAATGTGAGGAAGCAGTAAAATGCACAGTATTAAGAAATAGAATAAGCTTGGATGACTACAACAGAACAGAAAGATACTTGGCCCCTCCTAGTATGGAGTAAGAGATTAATTAGTATTCCCCATTGCTCTGCTATTCAGAAATTGAATACTACCTTTGGTTTGAAGGCCAGCACATAATTATCAACTCCAGCATTTATCGTTAATATTTAAAAATAGTTTTCAAATTCTTTCAGTATAAAATGTTAAGTGATGATTCTAAAGTACAGGAATTAATTGCTATATATGTCAATACTGGTTTCAATCCTGGTATCTCAGATATCCCTTGGATAATAACTCTTCCCCTCTTAGAAGCCTGTAAAAATACATTGTGAGTCTCCAGTGTTTCATAAGAAACCATGCTGAATGCTCAGCGGTGATAGTAACTGATAATAAGTGAAAATTCTTGTTTATTTTGACTTGAAGCTGTCAGATAAGATATAATAGCAGAGTTTTTTGTCAGATTTTCTAACTTGGTTTTCCCCAAATTAATCCACCCTGCTGATCCAGAGGAATTATTTCACTAACCAGACAAGATCTGGGATAAACACGTTTACAGGTCAAAAGAATTTTGTGAAGAATATCTTTGAGTCAAATTGCAAGTGTCACTAGGGAAAGTTCTCAGCTTTTCCTTGCTCCTTTCTATTACATTGCAAGATGGTAAGTGGGCTGTGCAACAAACAAAATTTTAAAAATGCAAAAAGATCATGTGAGTAACCACTTGAAAGGAAGAAGTTGGCCAAGAAATGCTCACAGGGATAAATTTTGAAATGTTGTTTAGGTGTCTGTGATTTTTTTTTTTAACCACAAATTTCACTGGGATTATTATCTCATGGTTTTATAGGGTCTATGTGCCTACCATGAATATAAAGGATGTTTTTTCTTCAGCCCAGGGTACAGCACCAGATGCCAAATACAATGTTTGCCTTCTTCTTGACTGTAATCATGAGGACTACTTTTTCTAGGCAAAACTCGTTAGCTCAAAAATTATGATTTCAGGAGAAAATGATGCACTCTGTCCTGAATTTTATCTGTTCTTGGAAATGAAAATCTACCCAGAAACAAAACTCTATTCCTCCTGTTTACCATTTTATGTTTTTTTCTGGAGGGAAAAAAAAAATCTACTTCCCTGCCTGTTAGTGCTCACTGCCTTTCCTGCCTGAGGGGCGACAGTGCTCCGGAAGAAAATGGTAGTCAGCAAGCAGAAGGAATGTGCACCGGTAACCTGACACTGGAGACAGATATGCTCAAGGAAAGGAAATGGGGATGACTCAGACCAGGCTGAACCTTGCATAACTTTTTTTAATGTTTTCTATGTCTGTTGCAGAGATGCACTACCTAGAAAGTACATTTTCTTTAATTTGAATCTGGGAAGAAAGTATGCTGTGTTCCTGCTATCATTTCTAGGTTCTTACTGCAATATAGGTCATAATTACAATTATTAGAATAATGATCGAAGTAAAACATGCTCTGATAGCCTTAGTCTGTCTTAGTTCTGTGACCCTACAATCTGTATGGTTGATTTTTTTAAATACAACGAAATACCAGCCCTACTCCTAAATAATCCTAAATTATGAAGTCCCTCCTAGAGGGACAATTTCATCAGTGACAATTTTTTTCATTTTTCAAAAGACAATTTCATCAGTTACCTATTGAACTGTATTGATGAATTTTCTTTTTTACTTAAGGAAAATACATTTTTATGAGCTCCAAGGTGCACTTATTTTTCAGTTTCCTTCCATCTCTTAGAAGTAAATTTGATTCTAAGATTCATCTAGGAAATACATACACATATTTCTTCCTAAGAGGAAAACACAGAGGTCAGCTCTGGAGCAGGAGTGCCTGTGATCCCCA